TTCCTTAAGTTGGGTTTGTCTGGTATTTCCTGATGATTAGATTTAAGTTATGCACTTTTGGCAGGAAACCACAGAAGTGATGCTGTGTTCTCAGTGCCTCATATCCCAAGGTACATGCTACCATTGCTGTCTTTGATCATCTGGTTAAGGTGGTATCTGCCAGTTTTCGCACTGAAAGTTACTTTATTTCCCTTTGTAATTAATAAATAACTTTTAGAGAGCTACTTTGAGACTATGTAAATGTTCTGTTACTCGTTGCTCTTGCCTCCCCTGGCATCAGTTGATGGCTCTTGCCTGTTGGATGCCAAATGGTGATTTTCTAATTCTGTCATTCCCTAGTTGTTACAAGGAAGAGATTCTCTTCCATCCATTCATCCATCTCACCTTGAACTCATATGTTCTTTATTTAAACAAACAGACAAACAAACCCATTGCCATCGAGTGGATTCTGACTCATAGTGACCTTATAGGACAGAGTACAACTACCCCATAGGGTTCCCAAGGCTGTAAATCTTTATAGAAGCAGACTGCCACATCTTTCTCCCTTGGAGTGGCTGGTGGGTTCTAACCTCTGACCTTTTGGTTAGCAGCCAAATGCTTAACCACTATACCACCAGGGCTCCCTCCCAGAGTAGAACTGCCCCATAGGGTTTCCAAGGCTGTAATTTTTTTTTTTTTTAATTTTATTTGTTTTGTTGTTGTTACTGTTGAGAATATACACAGCAAAACATACACCAATTCAACAGTTTCTACACATACAATTCAGTGACATTGATTACATTCTTCACGTTGTACAGCCATTCTTATCCTCCTTTTCTAAGTTGTTCCTCCCCCGTTGCCATAAACTCATTGCCCCCCCCCCCGAGGTTCCTGTCTAATCTTTTGGGTTGCTGTTGTCAATTTGATCCATACAGATAGTTCTTAAAAGAGCATAATGCTCAAGGCAGACCTTTTTTTTTTTTTTTAACTAGTTCCGCTAAACTGTAGTTTTAAGAAGACTTCAGGGAGATATTTTTGGTTGAAAATTTAAAGATTACCCTTTACTTTCTTAAAGAGCAACCATTTTAGTATTACGATTTCATCTCTGGGGTAGAAGAGTTGGAAGCAAAGACAGGTGACAGGTGCCATGTAATGAATAGATGTCCATACAGCCCAAAGTCCCTGAGTTGTGATATGGCATTCCAAAGCTGAAATCTTTTGCTGAAGCCAACTGCCACATCTTTCTCCCGTGGAACAGCTGGTGGGTTTGAACCATTGGCCTTTCAGTTAGCAGCTGAGCGCTTAACCATTGTGCCGCCAGATTTGGTTTGGTTCTTATTTCGTAGGTTGTAATTCCATCGTTACTTATTTTGATGCTTCAGTTACCCCAGATTTGGCCAGTGGACATCCCTTCAAGCTGACTCTGTGTCCCTTTAACATATCCCCATCATTCTTTGAATACATCCTTACTTTTTGGCCACAATAAGATGTTCCAGGCGCATCTTGTACTTTCCTTGCCCCCCCACCCCCCAGCCTTGGAATCAGCCATTTCTCTAAGGAGCTCTGGGTTCTTTTAGTGTTACTGCTTTTAAGCCTCAGCTGGCAAAAAAGCTATCTAGTTAGGGTTGGCAGATTTAGCAAATAAAATGCAGGGTACCCAATTAAATGTGAATTTCAGATAAACAACATAATTTTTTAGTGGAAATATGTCATTTATCTGAAATTCAAATAAGCACTATCCTGTATTTTATCTGACAACCCTAAGCTACCTACCTGTATATATTGATTAAAACTTAGGAATTCAGACTTACATCTGTAATACCTGGTCAGTATTACAGGGTTCCTTTTATTCTTCCTCCTTTCCTTATTTGTAACTGTGTTCTCCAAAACTTGGTTCCCTTTTCCCCAATATATTATTTGTTCAATTGTAGATGGTACAGAAATTAGTTTCAGAATTGATAACCCGTGCCTCTAAAAAGGAAGTCTACTGATTAGAGTTCAGCGTTTGTGCCTTATATTGTTAGCCTGAGGACACTGCTAAATGATCTCGCTCATGCCTGTGTTCCAAAGTTACCCCGGTTAGTTTCCCTGCCCACCTCAGTGTGGATTTGTTATGTGACTGAAATAGGCTTGGTTTATTTGTGTTTGTATTGAATTTTAGAATCCCCATCATCCTTGTTGATTTTGTGTGTGCGTGTGCGTGTGTGCGCGCGCGCGCGCACGAGAGAGAGAGAGAGAGAGAGAGAGAGAGAGAGAGAGAGAGAGAGAGAGAGAGACTGAGAGACTGAGAGACTGAGAGACTGAGAGAATGTGAGAGAGAATGCGACAGAGAAACATTAACTTGGCCTTAAAAGCCAGCAGTTTTTGAAAAGGTATATTCAGAAAGTGTTGCCACCCTCCTCCTTTTTTTAAACCCTATTCACATTCATGCATTGTGGGGAACCAATTTTGTTAGTCTTTGGTTTATCCTTTCTGTGTTTCTTTTTGCTGAAATGAGCAGATACATGTATATTTTCTCATTTCCCCATCTTTCTTACACAAAAGATAACATACTATAGATATGCTTTTTTACTGTGCTTTTTTCACTTAATATATCCTGGAAATTACTTCACATCATTTTATAGAGATCTTCGTGTATTTTTTATTTTTGCTTTACATTTGCACGTATTCCATTATATGGATGTACCATATCCCTATGTTTGGGTGTTTGGGTTGTTTGCAGTATTTTGCGGTCACAAACAGTGGTGCAATGAATAACCTAGTGCATGTGTGTTTTTATTGTTAGAGGCATATCTTTGGGACAAATTCTTAGAAATGAGATTGCTAGGTCAAAAGGTAACCACATATGTAGTTTGTCAGATATTGCCAAGTTCCTCTCCGTAGAAGTCTAGCAATTTGCATTTCCTTTAGCGAAATATGCCTGTTTTCCCATAGCCTCTCAAGTTGAGTATGTTGTTATACTTTCTTAGTTTTGCTAATCTTGTAGATGAGAAATAATATCTCAGTGTAGTTTTAGTTTGAATGTCCCTTGTCATGAACTGAGGCCCTTGGGTGGCGCAAACACTTTGCGCTTGTCTACTAACCTAAAGGTTGGCAGGTTGAACCTACCCAGTGGTACCATGGAAGAAAGGCCTGGCAGTCTGCTTCTTTAAGGATTACACTCAAGAAAGCCCCGTGGAATGTAGTTCCACTCAGTAACCCATGGGGTTGCTACAAGTCAGAAATAACTTGTCAGTGGGATTTTTTAAATAGTTTTCGTCATAGAACTATAGTATTTTTAAATGAAACAATAATAATCCTTTTTTTTCTTTTTAAGGCGAAACTGCAAAGGAAATCCGAATTGCTTGGTTGGAATTGGTGAGCATATTTGGTTGGGAGAAATAGATGAAAATAGTTTTCATAACATCGATGATCCCAACTGTGAGAGGAGAAAAAAGGTAAGCCATCCTTTTCTAAGTGATTGCTATATGGTGTTCTTTGGTACCCCCCATGATCAGAAGCCATGATTGGTTTCAGATTACCTGTACAGCTTTAATCTAAGTTGTGGAAATTAAGACCCTAAACCACTTGAATTGGAATAGTCCTTAATGGTATAATTTAAAACAGGTAGCTATGTAATCCAGTAAGCGTTTAAATAGTAATTTTAGTTTAAATGCTGATTTTATGTTTACTTTATCATTGCATGTTTTATTTTGAACTCTTAAAGTCTCTTTGAAGGAGATGGTAGTTCATGGAAACACACTCCCATGATGATACATTACTTTGCTTTCTAGAGCTTGTATTTTATATATTATAATATACATATAACAAGTAGTTTTAATTTTTAAAATGCACATTAGTATTTTCTAACCATAAAACCTGAATTCACAGAATAGTTAGCTATGTTGCTGTTTCTTTTCTCTTAAGATATCTTGTCTCTTAAAAGGTATATTATTCTTTGTAAGTTTAGGAATTCTCAACCTTATTTTTGGAAAAAGTTACAACCCAGATCTGTAGGATGAAAAGGAACTTTTCTAGAAGTTCTATTTCATTATTCTTCTGAGTACTTGCAGTTTAGGAATATGGCAAATGAAAAACCTATATACACATGTTCAAAACTGATCTTTCATAGAGTCCACCATTCTAATTTTTTATTCAAATGGCTGGGGAAGAAGACATACTAGAGATGAGCATTTATGCTGTCGTTAGCTATTCCTGTAACCAGTTGCTGTCAAGTTAACTCCTACTCATGGCATCCTCAAGTGTGTCAGAGTAGAACTGTGCTCCATGTGATTTTCAGTGGCTGATTTTTTTAGAAGTAGATCGCCAGGCCTTTCTTCCAGGGTGTCTCTGGGTAGACTCGAACGTCCAACCCTTTGGTTAGTAGCCGAACGTTTAACTGTTTGTACCACCCAGGGACTCGAAGCTGTTCCCGTTGTAGGCAACACAAAATGAGGCTTTCATGAAAATTGTGTCTCCTTCTGGCCAAGAGAGGCTTAAGGTGCTTATAGCAGGTTAATTAGGAGTCTCTGGGTGGCACAAGCACTTAAGTCCTTGACTATTAGCTGAAAGGTTGGCGGTTCAAACTCACCGAGAGGTACCTTGGAGGATAGGCCTGGCCATCTGCTTCTGAAAGGTCACAGCCTTGAAAACCCTATGGAGCAGTTCTGCTCTGCATACATTAGGAGTTGACTCAACAGCAACAAACAATAACAACCATGCTGATTAGGACAACTTTGTTGTTGTTGGGTGCGGTGGAGTCAGTTTTTCACTCAAAGCCACCCCATGTGACAGGATAGAACTGCCCCGTAGGGTCTTCTAGGCTGTAATCATTAGCAAGTATTCTCCCGTGGAGCGGCTGGGTGGGCTTGAACTGCCAACCTTTTGGTTACCAGTTAAGCACTTAACTGTTGTGTCACTAGACAGCTTTACATGTTTTTAATCTGGAAAATTCAGAATAAGGCTTTCTATAGATATTTTGTTTAAAGGGAAATTGATTTTATAATTTTAAATTTTGTATTTTTTGTAGAACTCATTTGTGGGCCTGACTAACCTTGGAGCCACTTGTTATGTCAACACATTTCTTCAAGTGTGGTTTCTCAACTTGGAGCTTCGGCAGGCGCTATACTTATGTCCAAGTACTTGTAGTGACTACATGATGGGGGATGGCATCCAAGAAGAAAAAGGTTAGTGGAGATGGGTGGGGTGAGGATTCACTTCTCAGTATATTGCCAGCTAGATCACTTCTGAACTCACCAAATAGGAGGAAACTACCTGTTGAGTACTTACTATGTGCCAGGCATGGTGCTAAGTCCTTTATAAATATAGTCATTATTCAAGATAGTTTTCCTTGTATATTTATCATTTATGCGCCAAAATGGCTAATATTCAAATGAGGGAAGCACATTTGATTATTTTTATATGGTTTGCAGCTATGATTTCTGTAAACAGTAAGTTTGATTAGGATCGATTTATTTCTAGTGATCGATAAAGGTCGGTCAATAAGGCATAAAAGGTTACTTTTTTGCTTGATTTGAGAGACTTCATAAATACTTCAGTGTAACCCAGTCTTTTGGCCTTATTCCCAAATAGGCTACTAAAATTAAGGTTTAATTTACTAATGTTGACTACATCAGCCACTAATATGCTAGCTACTACACTCATTGAAAATTTAGACAGAATCAGTTTGTGAAATTGTTTCTAATGGAATTAAATAGTTTGTTTCAGCACAGTTTGTGGATTGTTATTGCTGAATGATACTACCTTGTATTTAGAAAGTTCCTCTTTGTGATGGAGCTTTCTTAGAATGAACCAGATCTTTCTCCCTTCTTCTCAAAGCTGAGAGGGAGATAGAAAGAATGGGTGTCTTAAGATTATATAGGTCTGGGAGTGCCAAACCTGCAACTTTTGACTGCAGCTCCCACCTGTAAACTTTGTGCTGTCTTTTTTATATGATCTGATACGGACCTGTGGCTCATGTCTTTGGCTCCAGGAGAGAAAAAACTCTTAAGCTCCATAATTTTTAGCATTGTTTTGCTAAAGTATAAATTTATTAATGAGAAGACAGCAAAATAACAAGTAAAAACTAAATTTCTACTTTATAAAATTATGTACTGTGGCCTTATTTGGGTATTGTAGCTTTAATGTGTATCTAAGCAATATTTGTTTGTTTCCTAAACATACGGATTTTTATATTTAACCACAGTCTTTACCATATTCTCTGACAAGAGTGCACACTTCTTTTTTGTTTTCTCTTGACTTCTTCCCCCCTTCCCCCCTTGGAGTCTTTCTTTAAACAGATTCGAGTATACTTCTGATGCTAATTGTATTAGGTGCAGTGCAGTATAGTGGAGAGGGTTGTAGGATCTGAGTTCTACTTGTAGCTCAGTCACTCACTATTTTACACATAGGAAAACCAGCAGAGTACAAGTTATTTAAGATCTTACTATAACGTATTCTAAAAATGAGAGAGCTGGAATAGATGCAGACTTACTTGAGTAGCTTTTAACAGCCTACAAAGCCCCTGTACCCCAGGAAGTAAGATTTTACCTTTATTTTACAAATGAAATACTGATTTGCTCAGAGTCACGATTGGTAGTAAGAGGTTATTTCATTCAGGATCCAGTCAGGAGGCAGTAACTACAGTCATTTGAAGAGGGATAATTTAATATAAAGAATTATTAACAAGAAATTAGAGTAATGAGGAATTAGAAAGAGGACTCTGATGAATACAGGAATAGCAGATGTAGGAAGTGGCCTCCACAGCTGAGAGAGAGACCACTCAAGGAAGAGACCTGCACCTCCAGTGCCAGCCCTGAGATTCAGACCTTTCTGGAGAGAACACTGCCATGGCTCAATGGATGGCCGAAAAGGCACCGAGATGCCTCACTAAGTGGGACTTGCTGGAAACTGTCCACAGGAGATACCAAGACTCAGGGACAGACCTCCTGCAAAGTCACCTGATAGTGTGCCAGGGAGGTCATTCACTAGGAGGTGCCTCAAGACATGCTCTACACTGTGAAGCTGCAAGAGGAAGTGCTGGGGAAACTGCTGGAACCTGGAGCGCTGGAGAAAGCTGCACCCTGCAGGATGGCAAGAGAGAGACAACTGAACCTGCAAGAGAAAACCCTTCCTTCTTCCAGTGTCCCTCCAGTGCTTTCTAATGACCTTGTGCTAGCTGACAAAGGAGAAGTATTTAGAGTTTATTTCCATTATCACAGAGCAGACAAAGAACAGTGGATTAGGAGCTGAGAGGCCATAAATTGATAACCGGTACAGAAGATAAGACTACTAACTCAGGTCTCTTAGGGCCTTTGAGAGCTCACTTTTGATTTGCATATCCTTCCCCCCAACTAAAACTTGCAACTCTAAAATTCTAGGATTTTTAACAGTACTTCATTGTATTCTTCACTCAAGTGTGAATTGCTATGCTTGAGATTCCTGTCCCTTGCTCTATTAGATGTGGGAAGTACGCATTAAAGAGATTACATTAAAGTATTTGGCCGTCTTACGATAATGGTAAGTATAGTATGATATGATTTTTATTACTGGAATGAATGTGTGATTTGACACTCTAGAAACTGTAGTCATGATTGCTGTTGTTGCTGTGATGAATGTACAGCCTCTTGGCCTTTAGGGAGGTGAATGTAGACAGCCGTGGCTGCCTCATTACTTCCAAGACATGTGATTGCTAATTTGTGTCCTTTCAAAGTTTTAAAACTACAGTGAATTACTAATATAGCTTGGATGTAAGGGTGTTTCATTATGTTCTCACGTAAAGAGGATGTGGCATTTTACATGTTTTGTTCTTTTCTAATAGATTACGAGCCTCAGACAATTTGCGAGCATCTCCAGTACTTGTTTGCCTTGTTGCAAAACAGTAATAGGCGCTACATTGACCCGTCAGGATTTGTTAAAGCCTTGGGATTGGACACAGGGCAACAGCAGGTAAGAGGCTTTTTTCTTTTTTAAATATTAAAAAGTACCCAAGCATTTATAATGTTTATATAAGGATAAGTCAAAAAATATTGCTACTAGGGCTCCAGTTCATACATGCATGGGTTTATTCCAAACAAAACGTGTTTAAACGTGTCTCTGAGATCAGCGGATGACTGCAGACAAGTTCTTTGAGTAAAACACTTGTCTTAGTCTTGTTAGGGTGCCTCCAAAGAAAGGATACTTTTTGTGCCATGGAAAAAACGATTTTAAAGTCGGGGTAATACCAAATTTTTAACAAAACTCAAGTGGACATCTTCCCAAATCATTGAAGCTTTGCAACAAATTTATGGGAATGCTGCTTCACATAAAATAACAGTTTTTAGATGGATCAAGCTTTTCAAGGAAGGTCTGGAAGACCTCAAAGATGAGCCAAGAGAGGGAAGACCGCTTAGAAAGTTATGGCGACTATCTTTTGGGATTCCAAAGGGATAATCTTGATAGATTTTCTCAAAGGACACAGAATGGCCATAGGGGCTTATTATGAAGAAATTTTAAGAAAATTTAAAACTGCATTGGTGAGAAAAAGGCCGGGAAAGTGGGCCCGAAGAATTTTTTTTTCCATCACGACAACACATCCGCTCATTCTTGGAGAGTAGCAAGGGCTGTCTTACGAGAATTTCATTGGGAAACCTTACTCCATCCACTCTACAGCTTGATCTTGCCCCTTTAGACTTCTTTTTGTTCCCAGAACTGAACATTTAAAAGGAACATGATTTGAGTCCCGTGAGGATGCCAAAACTGCTGTTTTGACATGGTATAAATTGAAGAGCTCAGAATTCTTTGGGGAATGGTTGGAGAGATGAAGACACCGCCATCAGAAGTGTCTAGACCTAGACGGAGGATACGTAGAGAAACAACAGCTTCAGATTTTTTTTTTTTTTTTAATTGTACTTCAGGTGAAGGCTTACAGAACAAATAGTTTCTCATGAAACAGTAGTACACATATTGTTTTATGACATTGGTTAACAATCCCA